TCTCCTGGCGATTCAGATGCACAGCCAAGGCTGAGAACAAGGACAATTCGGAGCCATGTGATGCTTAGGCTGAGCAGCCAGTGGTTACCCCACAGAATTCCCTGCACAACACTTCCCTGCTGTGACTTTTCCCTCCAATGCCCCAAATGGCTTACGAAGGCTTTGGACTATAGCAAAACATCAGCCCACATTCTTCCTTAAAGATTTAATATGAAATCACATGAACTACAGATATATTTGAGTTAATCACTAGTCATTCCCTGGGAACCTGGCCTATAGGAAAAGATGTTCATCTGCCATGAACGGCATTGTGTTCCCCCCAATTCAAATGCTGAAGCCCCAATGTTCCAATTTGGAGGTGGGGCCTTTGGGGGACAATTCGTGTTGAAGTCGTGGGGGTGGGGCCCCCATGCTGAGATCGGTCCCCCTGCTCTTGCTCCCAGAGCTCGTCCCCTCTCCCTCTGAGTGAGGCACAGCGAGAGGGCAGGCGGCTGCTCCCTGGCCAGGACGCGAGCCCCTGCCAGGCACAGGCCTCGCTGCCCAATGACCGTGGACTCCCAGACTCCACAACTGTGAAGACATAAAATTTTGTTGTTTCAGCCCCAGCCCGGCTTTGTTTTGTTAGGCAGCCTGAGCCGACTCAGAGAGGATGAAAAGGTGGTGTACAAGGAGGCTCGTTACAACAGGTGTGACGGAAAAAAGGGTGGGACAGAAAGCCACCAACGGGAGGAGGTAGACGGCGGTGCATCAGAGGGCTCAGAGCCGGACCTTCCTAACAGCCACAAAGGGGGGGCAACCTAAACAGCTATCGTTCTCAACAATCAAGTAGGTTTTAATACAGCGACAAAACGAAATGAAAACAGAATGAATGGCTTGATACAGGAAGTTGCCCACGACATCCTGCCCTGCAGAAAAAGTCTAGCTTTGCGCAGGCTGATTCAAATGGCCCCAAAACAAAAAGGTTGTAAAGCATAAAGATTTCTGGAAGCAGAGGACACCCACCAGGGATCAACACGCCCGCTGGGGAAAGATCAGGAGCCACGGGGTTTCTACTTTGCAGGCTATGGTTTACATTTTAGCCACAAGGAGTATTGTGTGTCGCTGATGTTAGCGGCACCCCGATGGTTACTCACAGTTTTCCTCTTTGAAGTGGGACCAAGGAGGGATTGGGGAGGAGGGGAAGGAAGTGCCTTTCACACTCCCCACTTTTATACATCTTTCTTCCAAACGAGGGTATTGAGAAGGGCAGTGTCGGGAGGCAGGCAGGCAGGCTGTGGACCGCGACCTCTCGAGAAGGCCACTTTGTGTGATTCTGGCTTTTGTAAGCAGGCTGCTGTTTCCCATGCTGAATACATAAATGATGAGTAAATAAACAAAACACAAAAGGATGGGGGAGACCCCCTAAGAGGGGCACAAGCCGAAAACAAATCCCAGTAACAATATTTGGAGCACGTACTCTGAATTCTAGGTGCGGGGAGCCTGCTTTTGCGGAGGGGTACAGGTTAGTAATTATGAGTGCATTTCTTGCGTATCTGGGACTGAGCAAATAAGGAACCACTTCGTGGCTAATGGGAGCCAGGTTTCAGACTGTTAACAGTCTGGAAAGGGGGTCCTGCAGCATCAGGCTGGAATTGGGGGTATCTGTCTTAATACATGTGACTAGCCGTGCAGAAGTGTGTGGGTACATATATCTATTGCCCACTGAGTGGACAAAAAAGCAGTAACATCCAGTACCAATGAGCAAAGTTAAAGTCAGAGCCCGATTATTAAATATTCTTCTCTGATAAAAGGAACCAGGGCTCCTCAGAGAAATGGCTGACCCCAGAGCTTGGGCAGAGAAGACAGGTGGGCCTGGGCCATGCCAGTGTGCCAGGAAGCAGTAAGGAGGCAGTCAGGGGATGACAGGGACACACCGGCACGATGCAGGAGCCAATCAAAGGGGCTGCTATTGGCTCAAAATGCAACCACCTGATGAGCATCAACACAGTGACAACGGACTAAACCGAAAAAGAATCGTGTGCGCTGGTACCAGGGACTGGCAAACAGGAGCCCCTGGGCCTAAGAAGCAGCGAGAAGAGAAAGCTGTCCTTCCTGTGGTACGCCAACTACAAACCACAGACAGACTCGTGGGAAAGAAAAATCACCATTTTGCAACCTTCATGGCAAAAGCTGAGACAGGCATGGAGTCCAAATGGATGGGGAGACCGAGCGCGGGGGATCTGAGGAGTCGCAGCAGGTTTAACAGCCTCAGGAATTTCTCTGCAAGGTACTCCATGATTACAAAAGGAGAAACAGAAACTTTACAGTGGAGATGGCCTGCCACACACCAAGGGATCGAGGTCAACATCACCAGTGATGGATAAAGCTACGCCATGCACCCCCAACGTGACGCACGGAGACGGGCACAGCATCCCTGCCAACGACACATAACCTGGATCTGATACAAAGAAACATCAGTCAGAGCCACCCTGCAGGCCAGGGAACGTGTGGCCTGAGCCCCTCAGAAATGCCAAGGCCAGCAAGGCAAGGTCAGAGCGAGGGGTTGTTCAAGGTCAAAGGAGACCAACAGCAGGGCCACCACAGACAGCTGCCAATGTCCCCCCTGAGGAGGGGGGGCCGACAGGGCAGGTGGGGACTCTGCAGCAGGACACACGGGGACTCTTGGTCACAAACGGCTTTTATAATTTTGAAAGAAAAAAACACTTTTAAAGCTGAAGCAGAGCCAGGCTCCAGGGCCAGGCTGACATTTCCACCAAAATAACACCCCGGCTCCTCACCTCACCATCGGGTCCGATCGCAGGCGTCTGGCCTTCTGCGCTTTCTGCCTTCTGGAAGGAGAGAGAGAGAGAGAGAGACGCTCACTCCCTGACCGGGGAGGCCCAGCCACAGGCAGCGATGGCTCCGGTCCCCCCACAGGCCCAGCATACCTTCTTTTTCTTTTTCTTCTTTTTCTCCTTGGCAACCTGGGCAGCCTTGTGCTGGCGCACCAGTTCCGTGAGGTTGGCCACATACTCGTCCGTCTGCTGCAGGAGGTAGGCCAGGCGCTTGTCCTTCTTCTGGTCGATGAGCTTGCGGTAGCCCTCCTCGTCCTCAGCCTGCAGAAGCGGGTGGTGATGGCGCGTGCTGTCCTGACCCTTTGGCCACTGGCACCCAAGGGGGGCACCCGGAGTCAAAGAGCCCACTGGGGGATATTGTTACCAGCAACGAGACCAGCAGGAGCGGAGCGCTTAGCTCACACCGGGCGCCCTTCTCTTAACTACAGACTCCTGTCTGGTGCTTCCTCAATTCCTACCCAGGGGGGCACCTGCTGGACAGATGTGGTTATGCCAACAGCAAGTCCTGCCCCCCTCTGTCCACAAACACACCCCAAATCCCAACCCTTCTCTCCACCTGGTCCAAGCCACATCACAGCCACACACACCCAAAGCAAGTCCCTCCGGCTTTCAAAGAATCAACCAGACCACAGAGCTCCCTTCTCCAGCTTACAGCCTCCCGTGGCTCCCCGTCATGTCCAGAGGTGACCCAAAGCTCTCCTGGTGGCCTCCAAGGCCCCAGGCATGGCCCCTGGGATGCTGACCTCACACCTGCCCTGCACCACACTGCCCCAGGGGCCACTTGCTGTGCTTCCCAATGGCTCTCCTCTCGGGCCGCTGGGTCCTCCATCCCTGGGAGGCACGTCCTCCCTCTCTCCATACTCCCGGGCCATGCCCGCCTTCCCACACCACCCATCGCCCTCCTGCCCTCGTCCTGCTGCAGTCTCTTCAGTGCCCTCTGCCATCCGGGACTCTCCCTCAGGCCAGCACAAGCCCCTAGAGGGTAGGGGTCGCACCAACAGCGGCTCTCACAACCAGGGGGGCGCTGCCTGCCTCCGGGGGCACAGCAGCCAGCTAACTTGCCATCACTCTTAATGGTCAGAGTGACCACAGAGGTCTGAGGGCAGGTCTTCCGATTCCAAACCCGAGCCCTTTCTTTCTCGCTGGCCCACATCTAAGTGAGCAGCCAGTGACAGGGCTCAGGGCAACACTAGGTGATCAACCCCGGGTCCTGCGCCACCCAGCACACACTCAAAAGGACATGGGTCACAAGGGCGGAATTTTACCATGAGCCTCCGCATTCTCTCTTTCTCGATTCTTTCATTCTCCTTCTTCTGCTCCCGCTCCGTGTTGGCATGGTACGTGGCCACCGCCTTCGTGAGTTTCTGGATTTTTCCCGTGACGGATCTGTGATACTCTTTGAAATCCTTAGCGTGCTGAAGGATGCTGTTGAGGTATTCCTGTGGGGACACATGCGTAAGACAAGACTGGCTGTTCCACAGGAGTCACTGTAACACAGCCCCGACTAGACGAAACTATGAAGGTGCTTGTCTGAAACCAAGTGGGTGTAACCATGACAACCCAGCAACACTGTCTGCCCAGGAGGTTCGGCCTCCTCTGTGTAAGGGTGGAACTCAGCGCTGGGGAGTGTGGGAGAAGGACCCTCCCTCGTGCACGACACACAGGGACAACCTGGCACCAAACATTAACCACTTCAAAATGCTCCTGCCCTCCATTCACAGGGCTGGGAATTTATTTTAAGGAGACAGAGACTGGCCAAGAGAACTGCAGTAGGAGAACGCTTATCCCAGAAGTTGAGAATACACTATGTGCCCAAATGGGAAAAATGGTTACATAAAATACTAGATGCTGGACACACCCTGAGATGGGATATAACTCTGAGACTCTGAGATAATTAAGAATCATCTTTCCCCAATGCTTAAAAACAGGTCAAGGTACATGTGCATGATGATGTATTTTAAAGGCAGCTACTTAACTTTTGATTACTATGTATTTAAAAGATACAACTGGAGTGATAAATACCACAAGGCAACCAGTGGTTAACGCTGAGTCAACTATTTTAAACTATACCAGTAATAGATATTAACTGGGGGAAGGCTTTAGAAAATGTCAATGAGAAACAACAGACGGAATCACCCCCATAGCCTACTTGAGAGGTTTGGTCTCCTTGACTCTCCCTGTAAAACGCTGTCAGACCACCCCTTCCTCGGAACACTCCCTAGTTCCCACTTTCCTCATAGCAAAGGCCCAAGTTACCCCCTCAGCCCACAAGGCCCTGCACGCTCTGCCCATCACCTCCCCGTCCTCACTACCTCCTCCCCTGCCCCCTGCTCCCCCTACTCTGGCTACTCTGGGTTCCTTGCCATTCACAGAACACACAGGCACAGTCCCACCGCAGGGCCTCGGCACCTACCTCTCTACCCGGAAAGCTCTAAGCCCACATATCCACGAGGCTCCCCCCCTCGGGTCTGTGCTCGGTCTCACCTCAGCCAGCACTCCACAGACCACACTATGTGAAAAGCCTCTCTGTCACCCTCATCCCTGCCCCGCGTCTCCCATACCTTATCCCTTCCCAATGGTGTATGTTCACATGATTACAGCCTGTCTGCCCCCTATCATTTGGTTTGTCCACTACTGTACTCTAGGTGCCTAGAATCCTATTACGATGAATAGAAAAGAAAAACGGGACACTGAGATACAGAACACCCAGGACTCCTCGGTGTGAGAGCTGTGACCACCCAGGCACCCGGGCCTAGCCGCACAGGGCCCGGGGACGCACCTGGTGCTTCTGCCGCCGTTTGCGCTCCTGCTCAATCTTCTGCTGCTTCTCCAGCTTCTCGGTGATGCGGGCCTCGCGCAGGGACTGCCGCTTGCTGCGCTTGTAGGCCTTGGCATTGAGGGCTGTCTCCAGGGCCGTGTCCCTCCGCATGCACACCACCACCTCCTGCCGCAGCTTTAGGAAGGAAGAGGAAAGACTGGCCATGTGCACAACTTCATCACATCCGCACAATGGGCAATGGGCACAACCAATACCAGGAGCTCAGCAGAATGCTGCTTCTGGGAATATCCTTTCTAAACGCTGTCTGGTGAGAGCCTGCGGGCAGGGCGAATATGGGTGAGCAGGCTGCCTCTAGACGCCCTGCAGAAGGTCTTGCATGCCTACAGGATTCCCTCAACCACACACAAATTCTTCATAAGGGATCATCTGACAGTATGGCACCCTCAGAAACGGACCCATTACGTCTCTGGTTTTGAGCCCAGGACTGCCACCTTAGGGAAGACTCACCCTTCCTCATCCAAGAATGGCCACAGTCCCACCACTGAGCGGGACACAGACAGGAAGGAGGGACAGTGAGCTGACAAGGGTGGGAGGGCGCTGCCACAGTTAGCAGTCGAGGCACATTTAATGACTTCCCTGCGAGGGGCTCTTTGAGTCTGGGCATCCACACTGGCAGAAAGGGCCCTTCTCTGCAGGGACAGGCTGCACCCGCGCCCACCTGCCTCTGGAAGTTCAGCAGCCTGAGGGCCTTGAGCTCAATGGTCGCTTTGGTTCGCAAATCCCCGGCCAGGGACCCGGGAAGGTTTTCAAGTTCCTGGATTCGGTGTGCGATGCGAGCCTGCAGCCTGGGTCACAAAGACAGAAAGCAGCCGGGTGAGAGAAGGCCCTGTCTGCTCACGAGGAGCCAGCCTGGCCCTGTTCTTTCACGGTAGTCTCCGGAGAATCCATCCCATGGGGGAGGCAGCCACGGGTGCGGAGATGGGAGATGGCTCAGAAAAGGGTGCCAGCTGCAACACAGAAGCCAAGGCTCAAAGGGCCCAGCAAACAGGAACACTTATGGGGCACAAGCTGGCTTAGGACATTTCGGCAGCGTGAGCTAGCTTCTGCAGTCAGGTGAGGTGGAATCTCAGCCCAGCCCTGGGCCTCTATTTAGCCGGTAGGGGTTTGGGAAAAAGCCTCAGAGCAACCCTACAGACTTGGTTTGAAGTTCCAAAGGGATGATCCCCTTTCACAGCAGTTCACACACATTTACTAAGCGTCTACTGTGTGTCAGGGACTAGCCAGGTTGCGGAGCCTCAGCATTAAATGAGACTAACAGAGCTGTTTGCTGCTCTCATGAAGCTCACAAGCTTAACAACAAAACAGGCCATGAAGTAGTTAGAAAATTAAATATCTACAGTAATTTCAGAGAGTATCAAGTATTTTAAGGATGGGCTGGGGGGTGGGGGTGGCGGAGGTGGGCAAGGCC